CTTATTACCTTGTGTGGATAAGAAAAGTGATTTAGAGTCAAGATCTGAAGTCCTTGTACCAGAAATCCATGTTGCTGATTGATGAACTACCCATCAGATAACTGAAGGACTGGCTTACAGAGAGTCCGGGAAGTTGGTCCTCATGGTTCAAATCCCATTTACCATTTTAGCCGGCAACTGGTCAGAATTCTATGTATCTCTCTTGAGGTAACATTTTTTTCTTACCCTTTTATTAGTCTAAATTAGACAAGATTTTGGAGGTCATGCTCATAAAGAAGTTCAAGAACTCTTGATGTGACATGAATTCCTGGAGCCACATACAAATTCTATATGCAAATACTTATGACACTAACAGTCAATCATTTTGGCAATGAAAACTGTCTTTTGTAATATGTCCTCTAGCAAGGAGTGTCCTCTCATGATGGCTCTACTGTATTTTAGTTAAGGGAGACATTTTTTCAGAAATAGACAATTTCAACAATTTTATTGACTTCTAATCAATGGTTACAGTAAATAAAAAATATATTATAAAATAGACAAAAGATATATAGGGAACGATTAAACACACTTTGAATTATAGATTATAATACAAGAAAATAAGACCTAATTCAAATAATTTATTAGTGTGTGACATTTCGGCAACAACATTGTCACCATCATCAGACAAAAGAATCCAGAATACAAACGTCACACACTAATAAATTATTTGGATTAGGTCTTATTTTCTTGTATTATATAGGGAAATATATATAGTTATATGTGTATAAATTTCTTCTCAGCAAGGGAGGCACCCAAACTTGAGAGTTCTCTTCCATACAAGGAGGGGGTCTCTTCTTGAACACTCCTCAGTTCCATGGCGAGGAAGAACTTGTAAATGCAGGGCTTGGCAGATGCCAGGGTGTCATCATCCAGGCCTCGCCCTAAGACCCAGCCTTGCAGGTCAGGGGGGATGTTGGTGAAGGCTTCCCGGATGAGAGGTTTGGCAGGACCAGTACCATAGCCACAGGTTGTTAGACCCACAGGACTGTTGACCAATGCCAGATGGGACAAGGTAATCAGCCTCACTGCCTTGTGCCTGGAGAACAGCGACAGAGCAACAACCAACCAATTTTTTTTTAGGAATAGATCAAAGCAGAGGTATTACCCTAGGTAATACAGTATTACAGCTTTAAGAAGCGGTCTGGTAGATGAAATTGGAAAAAAAAAAACTGCTTAGAGGGTTTACCACAGATGAACTAAGCCCTCCCAATATTATTTCATTGCAGTAAGGTCACTAGAAGTTTATTTGTAAAAGAAACATTTGTGCTTTCTCACTTCTATACTATATGTTTAAAGAGAATAAAAGGTGTACATCCCTGGACAACCACAATATATGAAACAGGGAAACCTTTAGCAGATGGTGCTCAGCCATCCCCCGAGGTACACGTGACATGTCCCACATTGCCGAGCAACAGGAGAGTGGCAAGGTGAGATATGTCGGACGTAGTTTCCCGTGGTACCTCATCCCTCCCCCCTCTACACTTTTCCTTTAAACATCGTCTAACATTTTTAGGGTTGTAAGACAAGAAGCTAGAAGGCCATTCCAGCAACTGTTTACAACAAACAAACCTTATCTGCACAGCAGCTTGTAGACAAAACTGCCAGAAGGCCATTCCAGCAGCTATCTACAAGAAATAACCATTTACTGTCTACAGTGTAGACAAAACAACCAGAAAGTCCTTCCAACAATTATATCTACAATAAGAAATAACCATTCATCTATCTACAGTGTAGATAAAACAGCCAGAAGGCCATTCCAGCAGCAATCTACAAGAAATAACCATCTACAGTGTAGTCAAAACAACCAGAGAAGGTCCTTCCAACAATTATATCTCCATTCATCTATCTACAGTGTAGACAAAACAGCCAGAAGGCCATTCCAGCAATTAAATCTACATCAACAACTCCCCAACCAATAGGTTGTAAATAAAACAGACAAAAAGGAAATCCCAACAATTGCTTATAGCAAATTCACAAACATTCCTGGGTACTCTGAAGAAATCCATTATTTAATCCAAAATCTGGCATTTCTTTTTGTGAAAGAAATTTTACTAGCAGCAATCTTTTCACTTTTTTTTTTTTTTTTTTGTTATTCCAATTGTTATATAAAAACATTCCCCACTACTTTTCACAGCTTATATTCTGAAAGCATGTGGAAGAAACACATCCACAAATAACTAGAAAAATCTTGTTTTGTGTCAGGAATGTAGTGAGATCAATATTGGGAGTTTTATACTGTAAGGAAATTTTCTTTGAAGAGTCCATTGTTTCCTTCCATTGGAAGGAAAAAGTAACAACTGGAGACAAGACGGCATCGAAGGAGGAGCTGAAAAAGATTTTAAAAAATGATTTTTTGAAGTGCTTCAAAGATTGGAAAAACCTTTGGCACAAGTGTATAATATCTCATGGGGATTACTTTGAAGTGTGTGTTTTTTTTTTAAGTGAGAAGTGTGTTGGACGTCCAATTCTGCACAGGAACCCTGAAAAGGTGAGCCAAATTTCAAATTTGATAAAAGAAAATCCACGAAAGGGTTGCGGGACATTGAGGAAAAAACAGGGATATCAAAATCATTAGTTGGATCGATAATTAAAGACTTGCAGTTAAAGAAGACACCTTCAAAATTTGTCCCTAAAATGCTCACAATCCAACAAAAGGAGAATTGCGTTGAAGTTGCCAAAAAGATGCTTGAAATGGTGGAAGAAAACCCTAATTGGAAGGAAAAAGTAATAACTGGAGACGAGACTTGGGTTTACGGGTATGACCCTAAAACAAAACGCCAATCCATGGATTGGAAAGGAAAAGATGAACCAAGAACAAAGAAATCCCGACTTTGCAAGTCAAAAAACAAAGTCTTATTGGTCACGTTCTTTGACATAAAGGGAATTGTGCATTATGAATATCTAGAGGAAGGTCAAACAATCAACTGCATTCTAAAAAGCCTTTAATTTTCATAATATTTTTATTGTAATTATTATTATTATTATTATTATTAATTTTTTTAATGTATTATTATCAATAATTGTTTTTGACCAATGAAAAATTTGTTTTCATGTGATCTACAATAATTTGTAAATTAAATTCACTGTGCAATAAATTGATAAAGAGGGAGCAATCTCTCGAAATATTTTGAGAATTTTTTTTTTTTCTTTACAGATCCAGGTACGCCCTTTTATATATCAATAAGGAGTCTTATTTAAACATTATGAGATGTCATATATAGACCATTACTCTTCATATATTCAACCTTTCATACGTCATCCAAAAAGTTTGAAATAGTACATATTTCTCTGAAATTAATATTGATTTTCACAAAAAAAGAAACTTATGCGGGGAGGCTTTAAGTATTACTTTATAATCATACACCGCAATCCTTTATATTATGAGATGTGTACGTGAATCAATTCGTCTGAAAAGAAGTGAAATGTGGAGTTCCAAAAATTGGATTATCCATCATGATAATGCACCACCACACACTGCTACATCTGTACTGACTTATTTGGCTAAACACGGCATCCAAATACTTCAACACACACACAACCTCCCTATTCCCCAGACCTAGCTCCAAATGATTTTTTTCTCTTTCCATAACTCATAATGGCTCTAAAAGGAAGGATATTTGACACTAGAGAGTCCATCATAGCGGATTCGAAAAAGGTCTTGAAGAACATCCCGAAAGATGCCTTTTCTAAATGTTTTAAATCATGGGAGAAGAGATGGAAATTATGTATAGATGCGGGAGGGGACTATTTTGAAAAATACTAATAATTTTTTTATTTTTATCATTCTATTTTTTCTTTATTTTTGACCAGTCTCATTATTTATTGGACACACCTTGTATATCAATTTCTGATAGATTACATAGAGCCATGAAACCAACTTCTACTGTGGAAGGTTTCTCCACTTCTGTGCCAAAGTGGTAAAAACTACAACTAAAAAATATCAAGAAGATATTTTGGAACAAATAGTAAAGCCTCTGAATACAAAAATGTTTAATGGAGAACATTGGATATTTCAACAAGATTCAGCTCCTGCTCACAAAGCTAAGTCAACTCAACATGGTTGGAGATGAATGTTCCGGAGTTCATAAAGGCCAATGAATGGCCCTCTGGAAGCCCTGATTTAAACCCCCTTGATTACAGTTTGTGGGCATATTTAGAGGAGAAGGTGCTCTAAAAGATAACATAATTTGGATCAATTGAAATCAGCATTGGTGAGCACAATGAAAGAAATACCCTTAGAAAAGGTGCGTGCCGCCATAGATCAGTGGCCCAAACGTTTGAGATCCTGTGTCAAAAATAAGGGGGGATATTTAGAATGATTGTATATATTTAAAATCCTATTGGCTAATAAAATATGTATTTATATTCCATTAGTTTTTGATCATTTAATTTATATAATTGTAACAGAATTTATGGCTAGACTGTATATAGACGTCACAAGCCTGAGGAAGACGGCTTTTCTTTAGTTAAATGAGTAAGAGGTTTCACCATTGAGAATGGTGTTGTGGGCATGACCAATGTAACTATAGATAATGTTGTGCCACCACTTCTATGCAGACTATTTGATGCTCACATCAATGTTGAGTCCTATGCTTCAATCTCTGCTATAAAATATATCTGCAAACAAATATACAAGGGTTCAGACCAATCAATTTTTGCAGTTACTGGTGCTCAAACAGACTCTAACAAAGTGCTAGAGTACCAACGTGGTCAGTATATTAGTAGGCCAAGGAGTCTCTCCATGGACTCCTGGACACCACCAGTGATCTGGCGGGGAAGATCGGACTTCACTTCAAGGGCTCCAAGTGCGCACCTCTTCAAGGGAAGAAATGGCCTGCCTCCGCAGGCCAGCAACGAGGTGCTCTTCATCCCTCCTTCCAAAGGCAGAGCAGGAATGGTGCCGTTTGGTGACAAGACCGACTTGGCCAAGATCCAACATGCCTCCGGCTCCTCACGAGCCCAGACTCTGAAACCTCCGCACTCACCAAAAGCCTTCTTAAAAGAGTTGCGGAGAGGAAGCTGGGACGGCTTGCACTGGAAGAGGAGCTGGCAGGGTATCTGTCGGGGAAACTTGACAGTGATTTTGCCAGGGTTGGTGGAGACATCACTTCACTCTGCAGTGATGCCAAAAACACTTCTCGACACCTTTCAAAAAGGATCGGTATTCAGTGGGTCTACAACCCAACACTGGGAAACATAACAATCAAGCTCTCCAACACTGACAAGACACCCAAAGAAATCAGCCTCCCCACAGTTGCTAGGTAACAAATCATAGCAAGGCTTTGGGCAGGCCTTCCAAGACTCCTACCTGAAAACTGATTAAAAAGTCTGAACAGGAAAAGGTCTACGAGGTCACCTGTCGAAACAAGTCTTCTGTTGCAGATCCACTACCTTCTACGATTCTACGATTTTAAGTAGTGGATGATTTTCCTGCTACTAGCTCTTGTAGCCATAATCCTTCTGCCTAAATATGGCTCGCAAACGCCAGACCAATCGGTCTCAACTATTCCGACAGTTCAACCGTCGGACAGGACAGCGACGAAGACGTCGTGGACGTCAGCGTCGTGGATGCCCCGAGCTTCACCGACTCGGCACAATCTCGTTTCTCGAACGCGCCCGCTTTCTTCTAGCACCATACTTACCAGCCGCCGTGAAAGCATCGGACGCAACCGGGAATTGGTGGACTACCCTTGGCCACCTTGTGGGATACGCCGCCGTGATGCTGGGCAAAATTTTCATAAATAAAGTGACCCCTGGAGCTATCACTAGTGAAGCAGACCCCGTACCAGCACAATTTTTGCCAATTGCGTCTGTGTTTGCCTACGAAATAGCCCCCGAAACAATATTGATGGACAGTGCCAACATCGTGCGAGCTCTGAGCCCGTACACTGATCCATCTGTGTCTGCCACCTTTGTGTCTTACCGTCAGTTTAGACTTCACTCACTGACTGCTAAGATCGAATATGAGTCACGTTCATACGTGTACTCCGGACGTGTGTGTGCGGCCATAGTCCCATACACCATTAGTGGATTTACCGACCAGTACCAGTTCGCGTCGTACAATTACGACGACGTTCTTAATACTCCTGGATCCGTGGAGAGAAAATACGGACAACCATTCACCCTAACCTATTCGCCGAGCGCGTTTGACGTCGGCAAGTTGTGGTTGGGCACTGATAAAGGATTAACCAATCCGGCAGAGGTCGATGCAATTGGATCATCACTCATTGAAGATATCCTCAGACTATCAGCCCCTCAAAGAGGTCAGGTCTTCTGTATGTCTAAGAAAATTTTCGACATAGCAGAAAAATTCTTCAATGGAGACGCGGATGCCAGATCTCTAGCAACCAATTACTACAATAAATACATGGCTGAGAATGTTGCTTGTGATAGCAAGGTGGAAAGTGATACCTACGTCAGATGTGTGAAAAAGTTCAGAGACTTGATCCCAGACTTTCCAGAGGGACAAGTGATTGAGGGACCTGCCATGCTGTGATTGACACTAGAGGCTGTTCAGCAGAGCTGCAGGTAATGCTTGTGGACATGATAAATAAAAGGGCCAGACGGCTAACTAAATCTGCAGTAGGGCTTGGGTCTTCTCACTTGAAATATGTGGAATACATTTTTAATGCAAAACAATGGGGGGGACACCATCATTGTTCAATTCAAGGGGGTGTCCTCACAGAAAGGAAGTCAGGGGGAACTTTCGATCTGGAAGGAGTCGCAGTCCCAAATCAAAATGCCTTGCTTCTAAGCTCTGCATTTTGCGCCTACTCCCAAAAAGACTTAGCAAAGTTTGAGGAGGCAAAGGCTAGCATGACCACCTGGCTAGATGCAAACCCTGATCATGCAAATGCTGGACTATGGAATAGAGTCTTGCATGAGGTTGGACTGTTCCAAAATGGTCAAAGAGGGGAAGGCGAAAAGGGTGCTGGGTATGAGTCCCAAAAAACCAACATTGACCCACTTTGGCTATCTTACTTCACAGCCATCAAACTCTGCAATTTGAAATGGGCTCAATTCAAAGTCTTCCAGAGGGGAATCTATGCCATCGGCCTAAATGTGAGAGGAAAGGAAAATATCAAAGCCATGGTCAATAGTATGTCCGGTGTTCCAGACTTCACTCTTTTAAGAGGAAAACTCTCAAGGAACATGAACATCTACACTCCTCCCTGGATGATCACTCCAAGCAGGATGTACGACATAGTGGCAGTCTTTGGTGCCTGTGACAATGCAATGGCAAGAGACACACTTAAATTGCCTGTAATAAGCTGGAGATACTTCCTTGGCCTCAGACTGTCTGCTGATGGACCCTTTCGTTTCCTCCTTGCCCTGTGGGGAATCGAAAAGACAGCCAAAGAACTCTCAGCAGACGCATCAGATGCTTCTCAGGCAGAGAGAGCTTTTCAACAGTTGGTTTTGGGGAGATCAGGGCCTATCGTCAACACTAACTTTGTCCTTGGGAATGCCCTCAGTGTCACTCTCGAGTGATCTGGACAGAACAAATGTTCCTCCAAGAAATTATAAACTATATAACCTGAACCTATCCTTGGAGGAACTATTATCTCTATATATTAATCGTCATCTTTTATAATCGTATTATTATAGACAAGGTTGGTGGGAATATCATATCGCTTATGCCAGAACATTTATACTATTATAAGGACAGGAGAGACAAATAGAATCATAATGGTAAAGATTGCAAGGGCTGAGAAAATGATGGGAGAGGTTCTCATATACAAGATAATTAATTTACCCTTGCTTTCACAGAAATTCCGCAGACAATTTAAATCTCCTAATCATGATCTAGAGCAATATAACACCACTGATGAAATAGCAACTCTGAAAGACTTTCTGAGCCATCGCTGGACTAATAAATCGACACACCACAAAACCAAGATATGTAAGTCACAAAGAACACATATAGATGCTACAAAGAGCATCCTACGCTCCTCCTCCCAGAATAGGCCCGAAACCATTGTTATACAATGATTTTCTAAAGAAACACCTAAATAACGGGACTTTCCAAGAAAATTTAAAGTGGATAAGTAACAACATATTCAAAATAAAATGGGTGGATGCAAGAAAAAATAAATGTACAAAAGAAGACCATATAGTTTTTTTGGAGTGGGACCGTGCTAAAGGACGTGAAGTTGATGAGTCTACAGCTTCTTTCGCGGCCAGCAAAGCGCGGTTCCGAATAGCTATTAATAGCATCAAACAAGTTAAAAAGGTGGAATCAATTTCGATTACAGATTTTATATTATATCGTGTTGTAGATAGAATGTAAGGAGTTGGTAAGTTTGCATAAAACATCTAATGTCTATATATATACAGTAAGAGTGACGCCGTTATACGGTCGGTCGGATCTCTCACCCCTTCTATCCGCGAGTAGGCTTAGGGCATCCGCGGCGCCCGTGGTCCGACTGCCTTCGTCCGTGGTCTATCTCTACCTCTTGGAGCTACCATCTAGACCTGCCTCTTTTCCTTGCTGTCCCCGTGCGGGAATCCCATCACGCACCCACGACCACGACTGCCCAGTACATTCCACGTCGGCTTGGTCGGGGTTACTACAGGACCCGTTTAAGTCGACAGGATAACTGAGGACAACAACATGCAGAGGATGACGGAGGTCAGAGACGAATACTTCGGGGATGCCCTCACCAACATGCAACCACACTGCGAAGACCTAGTAAGCCGCCTAACAGACGCCATTCGGGGAATAGGAGTGCCTCGTGCGGAGGAAGCCCTCATCTCTCCTTTCGACGGATCCTACGCAGCAAGCAACTTCATCCAGCAACTCGAGCGGACGAGCGAGGGACCGCAAGATGACGCCACCCTGCAAGCCCGGCTCCGCAGAACAAATGTTCCTCCAAGAAATTATAAACTATATAACCTGAACCTATCCTTGGAGGAACTATTATCTCTATATATTAATCGTCATCTTTTATAATCGTATTATTATAGACAAGGGTGGTGGGAATATCATATAGCTTATGCCAGAACATTTATACTATTATAAGGACAGGAGAGACAAATAGAATCATAATGGTAAAGATTGCAAGGGCTGAGAAAATGAAGGGAGAGGTTCTCATATACAAGATAATTAATTTACCCTTGCTTTCACAGAAATTCCGCAGACAATTTAAATCTCCTAATCATGATCTAGAGCAATATAACACCACTGATGAAATAGCAACTCTGAAAGACTTTCTGAGCCATCGCTGGACTAATAAATCGACACACCACAAAACCAAGATATGTAAGTCACAAAGAACACATATAGATGCTACAAAGAGCATCCTACGCTCCTCCTCCCAGAATAGGCCCGAAACCATTGTTATACAATGATTTTCTAAAGAAACACCTAAATAACGGGACTTTCCAAGAAAATTTAAAGTGGATAAGTAACAACATATTCAAAATAAAATGGGTGGATGCAAGAAAAAATAAATGTACAAAAGAAGACCATATAGTTTTTTTGGAGTGGGACTGTGCTAAAGGACGTGAAGTTGATGAGTCTACAGCTTCTTTCGCGGCCAGCAAAGCGCGGTTCCGAATAGCTATTAATAGCATCAAACAAGTTAAAAAGGTGGAATCAATTTCGATTACAGATTTTATATTATACCGTGTTTTAGATAGAATGTAAGGAGTTGGTAAGTTTGCATAAAACATCTAATGTCTTTATATATACAGTAAGAGTGACGCCGTTATACGGTCGGTCGGATCTCTCACCCCTTCTATCCGCGAGTAGGCTTAGGGCATCCGCGGCGCCCGTGGTCCGACTGCTTTCGTCCGTGGTCTATCTCTACCTCTTGGAGCTACCATCTAGACCTGCCTCTTTTCCTTGCTGTCCCCGTGCGGGAATCCCATCACGCACCCACGACCATGACTGCCCAGTACATTCCACGTCGGCTTGGTCGGGGTTACTACAGAACCCGTTTAAATCTCCTAATCATGATCTAGAGCAATATAAAACCACTGATGAAATAGCAACTCTGAAAGACTTTCTGAGCCATCGCTGGACTAATAAATCGACACACCACAAAACCAAGATATGTAAGTCACAAAGAACACATATAGATGCTACAAAGAGCATCCTACGCTCCTCCTCCCAGAATAGGCCCGAATATACAAAATTTAAAGTGGATAAGTAACAACATATTCAAAATAAAATGGGTGGATGCAAGAAAAAATAAATGTACAAAAGAAGACCATATAGTTTTTTTGGAGTGGGACCGTGCTAAAGGACGTGAAGTTGATGAGTCTACAGCTTCTTTCGCGGCCAGCAAAGCGCGGTTCCGAATAGCTATTAATAGCATCAAACAAGTTAAAAAGGTGGAATCAATTTCGATTACAGATTTTATATTATATCGTGTTGTAGATAGAATGTAAGGAGTTGGTAAGTTTGCATAAAACATCTAATGTCTATATATATACAGTAAGAGTGACGCCGTTATACGGTCGGTCGGATCTCTCACCCCTTCTATCCGCGAGTAGGCTTAGGGCATCCGCGGCGCCCGTGGTCCGACTGCCTTCGTCCGTGGTCTATCTCTACCTCTTGGAGCTACCATCTAGACCTGCCTCTTTTCCTTGCTGTCCCCGTGCGGGAATCCCATCACTCACCCACGACCACGACTGCCCAGTACATTCCACGTCGGCTTGGTCGGGGTTACTACAGAACCCGTTTAAGTCGACAGGATAACTGAGGACAACAACATGCAGAGGATGACGGAGGTCCGAGACGAATACTTCGGGGATGCCCTCACCAACATGCAACCCCACTGCGAAGACCTAGTAAGCCGCCTAACAGACGCCATTCGGGGAATAGGAGTGCCTCGTGCGGAGGAAGCCCTCATCTCTCCTTTCGACGGATCCTACGCAGCAAGCAACTTCATCCAGCAACTCGAGCGGACGAGCGAGGGACCGCAAGATGACGCCACCCTGCAAGCCCGGCTCCGCAGAACAAATGTTCCTCCAAGAAATTATAAACTATATAACCTGAACCTATCCTTGGAGGAACTATTATCTCTATTTATTAATCGTCATCTTTTATAATCGTATTATTATAGACAAGGGTGGTGGGAATATCATATCGCTTATGCCAGAACATTTATACTATTATAAGGACAGGAGAGACAAATAGAATCATAATGGTAAAGATTGCAAGGGCTGAGAAAATGAAGGGAGAGGTTCTCATATACAAGATAATTAATTTACCCTTGCTTTCACAGAAATTCCGCAGACAATTTAAATCTCCTAATCATGATCTAGAGCAATATAACACCACTGATGAAATAGCAACTCTGAAAGACTTTCTGAGCCATCGCTGGACTAATAAATCGACACACCACAAAACCAAGATATGTAAGTCACAAAGAACACATATAGATGCTACAAAGAGCATCCTACGCTCCTCCTCCCAGAATAGGCCCGAAACCATTGTTATACAATGATTTTCTAAAGAAACACCTAAATAACGGGACTTTCCAAGAAAATTTAAAGTGGATAAGTAACAACATATTCAAAATAAAATGGGTGGATGCAAGAAAAAATAAATGTACAAAAGAAGACCATATAGTTTTTTTGGAGTGGGACCGTGCTAAAGGACGTGAAGTTGATGAGTCTACAGCTTCTTTCGCGGCCAGCAAAGCGCGGTTCCGAATAGCTATTAATAGCATCAAACAAGTTAAAAAGGTGGAATCAATTTCGATTACAGATTTTATATTATATCGTGTTGTAGATAGAATGTAAGGAGTTGGTAAGTTTGCATAAAACATCTAATGTCTATATATATACAGTAAGAGTGACGCCGTTATACGGTCGGTCGGATCTCTCACCCCTTCTATCCGCGAGTAGGCTTAGGGCATCCGCGGCGCCCGTGGTCCGACTGCCTTCGTCCGTGGTCTATCTCTACCTCTTGGAGCTACCATCTAGACCTGCCTCTTTTCCTTGCTGTCCCCGTGCGGGAATCCCATCACTCACCCACGACCACGACTGCCCAGTACATTCCACGTCGGCTTGGTCGGGGTTACTACAGAACCCGTTTAAGTCGACAGGATAACTGAGGACAACAACATGCAGAGGATGACGGAGGTCAGAGACGAATACTTCGGGGATGCCCTCACCAACATGCAACCCCACTGCGAAGAACTAGTAAGCCGCCTAACAGACGCCATTCGGGGAATAGGAGTGCCTCGTGCGGAGGAAGCCCTCATCTCTCCTTTCGACGGATCCTACGCAGCAAGCAACTTCATCCAGCAACTCGAGCGGACGAGCGAGGGACCGCAAGATGACGCCACCCTGCAAGCCCGGCTCCGCAGAACAAATGTTCCTCCAAGAAATTATAAACTATATAACCTGAACCTATCCTTGGAGGAACTATTATCTCTATTTATTAATCGTCATCTTTTATAATCGTATTATTATAGACAAGGGTGGTGGGAATATCATATCGCTTATGCCAGAACATTTATACTATTATAAGGACAGGAGAGACAAATAGAATCATAATGGTAAAGATTGCAAGGGCTGAGAAAATGAAGGGAGAGGTTCTCATATACAAGATAATTAATTTACCCTTGCTTTCACAGAAATTCCGCAGACAATTTAAATCTCCTAATCATGATCTAGAGCAATATAACACCACTGATGAAATAGCAACTCTGAAAGACTTTCTGAGCCATCGCTGGACTAATAAATCGACACACCACAAAACCAAGATATGTAAGTCACAAAGAACACATATAGATGCTACAAAGAGCATCCTACGCTCCTCCTCCCAGAATAGGCCCGAAACCATTGTTATACAATGATTTTCTAAAGAAACACCTAAATAACGGGACTTTCCAAGAAAATTTAAAGTGGATAAGTAACAACATATTCAAAATAAAATGGGTGGATGCAAGAAAAAATAAATGTACAAAAGAAGACCATATAGTTTTTTTGGAGTGGGACCGTGCTAAAGGACGTGAAGTTGATGAGTCTACAGCTTCTTTCGCGGCCAGCAAAGCGCGGTTCCGAATAGCTATTAATAGCATCAAACAAGTTAAAAAGGTGGAATCAATTTCGATTACAGATTTTATATTATATCGTGTTGTAGATAGAATGTAAGGAGTTGGTAAGTTTGCATAAAACATCTAATGTCTATATATATACAGTAAGAGTGACGCCGTTATACGGTCGGTCGGATCTCTCACCCCTTCTATCCGCGAGTAGGCTTAGGGCATCCGCGGCGCCCGTGGTCCGACTGCCTTCGTCCGTGGTCTATCTCTACCTCTTGGAGCTACCATCTAGACCTGCCTCTTTTCCTTGCTGTCCCCGTGCGGGAATCCCATCACGCACCCACGACCACGACTGCCCAGTACATTCCACGTCGGCTTGGTCGGGGTTACTACAGAACCCGTTTAAGTCGACAGGATAACTGAGGACAACAACATGCAGAGGATGACGGAGGTCAGAGACGAATATGTTGGGTCAGTTTTCCCATTAAACAAAACCCAACAAAGATGTAAACATTCATTTACATCATATAAACATATATATACGCAGTGTCTCGCCGAAGTGTTTGTTGCCTAGGTGGAAAACTCCCAACGATGGCCGACGATGCTCTAAAGGCCCCCTTCCCTGACGCAGGGCCTCTCTTGGAAGGATGTACAAAAGGCAGACACCTGAAGACACGGGTGACATCCAGAGACATCCGTGCTGAGAACTGCTGTACCATATGTACATATATTGCTGTACCATATGTACATATATTCCCCTCATTTCCTTTTGGTAGTAGGTGACCTAAGAAAAACAATGTGTCATATAGACATGTAAATTATTAATTTTTATATACTCGGGATATATATATACATTAATTAATTCCTAAGGAATTAATTTTAGGGATTAATTTGTTTTATCCAATATACGATTATCTTCCTCGCGCGGCAACACGGGAAATTGGGGGCGTCGTCATGGGGGACGTGCGTGTTTGCTTCCGACGAATGAAGATGCCCGTTGATCACGTGGGTGTTTGCTCTCGGCGAATCAAAATGCCAGCCAATAAAGGTTTTGGCATGACCAACGAATGGAAATGAAGAAAGGATAGGATAAAAAGGGCCCGTTTTTGACTAAAAAGGGGAGACAGACGGAGAGCCGCTCAGTGACAGTAATTTCCGCCAGACAGTCCGAGACGTGGAGGAGACCAGACCTTACCGCCCCTTTTTCCGAGAGAAGGTAAGCACCGCCACCATGGCCCAACTCCCTTTTATAGTTTTCCAGTAGAAGCAGAACTATTTAGATTTTTGAATGGGCCCTAAAAGGGCTTTAGATGATAATTTAAAGTAATGTTAGTATTTTTAGTACCTTATCCCGTTAGAATAGATGGAGATCTATGTTTTCCTATTATACAACGGAGAATTTGTAACCTTAAGTCACCTCTACCTAGTTATTATGTAAATAGAATGTCTCGCTAGTATAAAATGTCCCCAAATTTTCGCCTAATAAATACCTATATATGCTTAATTCACGCAGAGAGTTCTGTTTCTTTTTATACAATTTCATTCTCTAGTTTTATGGTAATCCACCCCCACCTTATTATCAAATTACTGAATATGGACTACTAACTCTGATGGAATAGAGTTGTGTACTGTGTATTTGCTGTGGCATGTTGACACAGCAACAGATGCAAAATTACGACTTTATCATGGCTGTTTTGAGGGTATATATATCTGTTAGGTTTTAATAATACTTTAATCCTCATGTGAAGAATCTGTCTTTCCCCACTGTTTGAATACGATATAGTATGATTCTTACCTATTTGAAGGGAATGTTGTTAATAATCAAGTCTCCCATAAATTGCTGGCCACGTACACTGTAGTGAATGTCTGTGTTTCAGTATGTTCCATCATTGACTATCATTGTATTGTTCGTTGATTTAAAAAGGTTAATATGGATCATGTTGTCTTAAACTCATTGGGTTCTCTTTATAATTTTATTGAAGACCTTTGTTTTAGATACATTATGATTATTAATGTCAATAGTATAAGTCTATAGTTTGCTTGTCTTTTATTTGTTAGATTTTGGTGTAATCTTCATAAATAGAGTCCTTCCCATATATCCAGATAGCAAATTAACTCCAATGTCTTAACCTCTGCGAAATCTCTATGACAATAATACAACTCCGAGGTCGTGTATATATATATATATTTTTTTTTTTCTAACAAGGCTCTAGCTTTCGGATATGGTAATCCTTCTACTGGAGAGACGCGATGGTAGTGGGATGTTAGTAACTATATATATTTATCTAATGTATTTACATCTTTACAAAATTTTTTATAAAGGAACTATTAACATCTTGTTACATGCTAAGTGTAGACTATTTACATATTTCTAAACTAAGAAAAAAACTATTATATAATAATGTAACTTATGAGATTAGAATTAGCTATGGAACATGGTTAATGGAACAAGAATTACTTTATCAGATATGGGGAAGTATACGCCTAATTGCTATCATTTCTATTTTGAATCTGGTGCGCCCATCCATTCTATCTATTATTTGTCTGTCGGGTTCCGCCTATTTACATACTGTGGTATTGGTTGCATTCCATCAGGTATATTATTTGACTATTGTCTGTGTAATTTGGGTTATAAACGCCTTATTATTGTGAATCTATTTACCGTTGATATATATAGAATTATAGAGATCGGCTGCTATAAATTCCTCTATGCAATGGCCCTCAGCGTCTCCAGTGGGTGGCTAAATCGCTAGAAGGCGAATTTCTTAAAAGGATAAGTTGAGACAACGAGGAAGGGTCCGCCATTTTCCCTTTCATGGAGGAAAAAGCAGGGGGGGGAGAATGGACGTTGGACCCCCACATTCCTGAGACATCGTTAGTTCCCGCGCGAAGGATCCATCAACGGGACTCCCTGACGCTGGGCCCCTTCCCCCCCCCCCCTTTTGGGAATCCCACCCACGCCCGGCGTGGTTGGAAGTCCCACTTGGAGCTGCAACTCTAAAGTTCTTCTGTACCTTGTATAGTATCTGACATCCCATTCTTCCAATTATAGTTTTATATGCTCAAGCTCTACATTGTTTATCTCTAAATCAAACGCTTTCCCGAAGATGGTAGGGGGTTGTTGTCAAAACACTACACTTACAGATTTTTTTTTTTATTATAAGAGACTTTTACTAAGGCACAATATGCATTTCGAGGATGGTGGTGACATTGTCGTCAAAAGTTTACTCTCGTAAATTTTAATAAGGAAATTGTACTAAGTCACTCCCTACATGCTCCGTTTTCGTAGGTCTAAAATAGGGAACGCGACAGTGGCGCCCGCCGCGGGGCACGAATTTAGTATATATTTTCATCTTGAATACTTTAGAAATATATACCTAATGAAAAGCCATACTATTTAATTATTTAATTAATAAAATTGGTGAAGTAGTTCACACCCTGAGTTAAGAGTCTATATCTAAAGTGACTTACAAAAATTTCCAGTTGTCTTACTTAAGGAATGTCATGTTGTCGCCTTGTGATTTTCCGTTAATTTTAAGAGCTATTCATAGCGTCCTTTCAGTTTTCTAACCGCACCTACTGATGTGATTTTAAATCGTGAATTTTAATTAATGCTTCCTGTTTCACTAGCAATTTTATCAGGCAATGAAAGTTAAGTTGAGGCAATGTCTACCGCATCACTCGCCGCTGTTTTCCTTTTTTACGATTTACTTTATTTGTGACAAAGCCTTTATTATCGTTGATTTCTGATATCAAAGTAAAAACGTTTATGGGGATGAGTATCTTTTATTCAGGTCTCATCAAGCTTTCGGGCTTATCCGTCCTTCTACAAGGGAAACATATGCAATATATCAAGAAAACATAACGCCGCCTGAAGCTAAAACTATTGTGATTCTATGTACATATATACATATATATATATACATTAGGATGTTTTTTTTTTTGCACATAGTTTGTTTTCTTAAGATATATCTTTTTTTTTTATTTTGTTAAGGTGCTTATGCATATTCTACTATCGTTTGCTATATTCTACGAATAGCCTTATAGGTTAGAAATTTTATTATTTAAGTAGTTTTATATTAGTTATTGGCTATTACATATAAGTTACGCATATTACTGTCGATATTTAGCTGGTGCTAGGACATATTGTGTTATATGTTGGGTATCCTGCTTTCTGGACATTTCTTAAATTGTTATGTGTTCCAATCATTTCTAAATTCTGTTGCGAGCACCATTGATTACAATTTTATCTTATTTTAATTCATTTTCTTAAATTATTTTATACAGTATGGGGGATGAGGCTGGATTTCCATGGTTCAAATTTAGAACGGTAATCAGTGTTACAATAGTCTACTGAAATGATTTAGAATTTTTTCTCTATCATAGCCCTGATATGATTTCTCACAGCAGAGGTGAGTCCTGTTAAGTATTGACGATTACAAATTTCTTAACTTTATTTTATAGCGCTTTCTTTCAAGTTATGCTGGCCTGCATCCAGATTGGGGGCTGGCACTGTAAGAGATAGTTAATCGATTTTTCTCCAGCACATAGCGGATTGGGAGAATGACAAATATATGAGCTTTAAGATAAAGGTAGAAATGGAGAACCAATTAGCGTACCCGTGAAGAGAGAAGTTTGATCACCATCTCTTCGTGAAAACTTTTTAAAATTGAAATCAGTGATGGGTAGAAATCTGGTTTTTAACATTCCAATGGCAGAATCTCAAGGAATAGATATGGTAACCAGCTTGCGCGAGCACCTTTAATCACTGTGGAGATATCTATTGACTTATGACAACTACCTGGGATAATCTTTAAATATATTCAAAGAAAAGGAGATGACTGAAGCTTGTGTCTACATGACAGCTGAGATATCCCGAGGCACGCGTGGACAGCGTTAATTTGGTGACAAGGCAGCAAAAAAAAGCCACCTGTGTTAGAGACGGGATCTATCTAATATTTGGGGGTATAAGGGACAGGAGAGTTTATCGAGGCTCGATTTGATACTAATATATAATGAGGAGGTTAGCGAAATGAGGATCTCCAGCGCGAAGTAATATCACCTGAAGGCTGTGAAGGAGGGAGAATGAAGTCGGGACACCCGAGCAAGGATATTACATTGAATGCAATTCGGAACCTGTAGGCGTGAGGCGGCGTCGTGATTGGTTAGAAGGCTAGATGCGCGAGGAAGGGCGGCCCCCTTTGACGTTGTTTTCTGCCAAGTTAGATCACTGGATGCCGATAGATCGCTAAAAGGGTGTGTGCACCACATGGAAATTGTCATTGAAGATGTGCCAGCACGACGAGAAAGAAGATCTAGGACGAGATGACGTTTCCTATATTTGACACACATAAGATGCTACGCCTGGACAGTAGATGGGGCAGTGAAGTCCATCTAAAATACGGCGCTAATTCCAGAAAAAATGTGTTTAGATTGAGCTGAGGTGACCTCTCCATGTCATTTATACTCCTGTAAATCCTTAATTGTCCACATACATTTCCACAGTGAATTATACCTGCTGCACACCTATATCTCATGAGCCAGGAATGTAATTATCAGACTGACAGTAGTAAGTAATAATATGAGTTTTCTAACCCAGGAACAAACAAAACCCATGGTATGCAACAAAGTCCTACAAAGTAATTCCCCTACAAGATTCACAGTATATTATCATAACCCAACAGAAAACTCAGTTAAAATCGGTGTCCTAAAGGGCGAAATAACTTTGTCATCTCCCAGTTCAAAATGCAACTGTTATCCCGTAGACAATGATATTATAACCGCATTTTATTCCGTACCAGCATGTTGTAAGAGGGATGAACCCATGGAAATAGAACCTCCAATCACTGCACCTCATACTGTATAAATACAAAAGAAAGGCTTCTGATAACCGTCTCTAAGTGACGATGGACTCATACACGTGTTATGGGATCAAGTAAATAGGTGGGATAAGTTTCTGGATATTCTACAATTGTGTATTTGTAGTTAGTAAGTTGCCAGCAAGGTGAACAGAGATCTGGGGCCTAAACGTGACGTTTGTATATGGCCGGGGAGAGGCACCACGACGACCAATTCCTCAGCTGGCCCCCGATCGGGGGTAATTCTGTCACCACGAGATAAGAAAGTCGTAGCTGGGGCAGTTAAATTTAGAAATCGCCGGATCGCTCCCCTTAATTGGCAACAGCCGGACGTGGAAATGGACGTGGAAGTGGGCCCCACTATTTAAACTATCAGGTGACGACGGTCTACCGAGGCTGTAACTGGTAAATTAAGGTTTTTAAAATACACCAAGAGTTTGCGCAAGCTGATTTACATAGATTTCAGTTACTGTATACACTAATCTATACATAGGACTATATTTGTTTTAATATTGGGCTATATTTTAAATAACAAATATGTATTTCTCCTGATAAGAAACAATCTTTATTGGCTGCAATCTTGGCTTTGATGTTGATAACTTTAGTTAGACAAATTTTTATTTAGACTAATAAAAGCTTTCAATGTACAACATTGTACTTGGTGATAGGCTGTGCTTTAAAGAGTTTCAGCCTTATTTTCATTTTTTTTGCTGCTATGAGTTTGTTTAAGCGTTGGATTGAATAATAAAGTTTTTTTTTTTCCTTTTAGCTCTGTTTGATGGGGCTATCCTTTTGTGGAACTCGTCAATCAATTCTAAATCTACCACATATTGAACATTACTTGACTTCATTTTCTTACTAAACTTGACAAATTCCTCATATTCGTCCAGGCGTTCAGCAGGCTTGAGGTTCATGGTGAACTTGCCCGAATTTTTTTTGGTTACCAATAACCTCCGAAGTATCCAAATGTGATAATCTTTATTGTCCCTGGATTGTGAGCTGGGAGTTTCGTTGTATTAACGTCTCTGTTGTCAATTAGATAACCTGCATTGGGTTGAGGATATCTTTGTCATAGTTACTGGTATATTAAGCTTTTGAAGGTTCCCTCCATATGATCGCCTATGGGAAGTAGCTCTTGGCAAAGGGGCCTCGTTTATAAGTAGAATATCTTGATGATTGAAATAAGTCTGTAGGCTGTTGAAAATTGGAGTATTTTTTTTCTTACATCACACGGGTTTCTTTTGTAGAACCTTCGTCCTTTAGCAACACGATGTTTGTGTTCACAACACCGAGGTTTCTTTGTAGAACCTTCGCCCTTTTAGCAACACTATGTTTGTGTTCACAACACCCAGGTTTCTTTGTAGAACCTTCGCCCTTTTCGCAACACGATGTTTGTGTTCACAACACCTTTTTTAGAACCTTCGTCCTTTAGCAACACGATGTTTGTGTTCACAACACCCAGGTTTCTTTGTAGAACCTTCGCCTTTTTTTTTTCGCAACACGATGTTTGTGTTCACAACACCCAGGTTTCTTTGTAGAACCTTCGCCCTTTTAGCAACACTATGTTTGTGTTCACAACACCCAGGTTTCTTTGTAGAACCTTCGCCCTTTAGCAACACGATGTTTGTGTTCACAACACCCAGGTTTCTTTGTAGAACCTTCGTCCTTTAGCACCACGATGTTTGTGTTCACATCACACGGGTTTCCTTTGTAGAACCTTCGTCCTTTAGCAACACGATGTTTGTGTTCACAACACCCAGGTTTCTTTGTAGAACCTTCGCCCTTTTCGCAACACGATGTTTGTGTTCACAACACCCAGGTTTCTTTGTAGAACCTTCGTCCTTTAGCACCACGATGTTTGTGTTCACATCACACAGGTTTCTTTGTAGAACCTTCGCCCTTTTCGCAACACGATGTTTGTGTTCACAACACCCAGATTTCTTTGTAGAACCTTCGCCCTTTTCGCAACACGATGTTTGTGTTCACAACACCCAGGTTTCTTTGTAGAACCTTCGCCCTTTACGCAACACGATGTTTGTGTTCACAACACCCAGGTTTCTTTGTAGAACCTTCGCCCTTTTCCGTAACACGATGTTTGTGTTCACAACACCCAGGTTTCTTTGTAGAACCTTCGCCCTTTTCGCAACACGATGTTTGTGTTCACAACACCTTTTTTAGAACCTTCGTCCTTTAGCAACACGATGTTTGTGTTCACAACACCCAGGTTTCTTTGTAGAACCTTCGCCTTTTTTTTTGCAACACGATGTTTGTGTTCACAACACCCAGGTTTCTTTGTAGAACCTTCGCCCTTTTCGCAACACGATGTTTGTGTTCACAACACCCAGGTTTCTTTGAAGAACCTTCGCCCTTTTAGCAACACTATGTTTGTGTTCACAACACCCAGGTTTCCTTTGTAGAACCTTCGTCCTTTAGCAACACGATGTTTGTGTTCACAACACCCAGGTTTCTTTGTAGAACCTTCGCCTTTTTCGCAACACGATGTTTGTGTTCACAACACCCAGGTTTCTTTGTAGAACCTTCGCCCTTTAGCAACACGATGTTTGTGTTCACAACACCCAGGTTTCTTTGTAGAACCTTCGTCCTTTAGCACCACGATGTTTGTGTTCACATCACACGGGTTTCCTTTGTAGAACCTTCGTCCTTTAGCAACACGATGTTTGTGTTCACAACACCCAGGTTTCTTTGTAGAACCTTCGCCCTTTTCGCAACACGATGTTTGTGTTCACAACACCCAGGTTTCTTTGTAGAACCTTCGCCCTTTTCGCAACACGATGTTTGTGTTCACAACACCCAGGTTTCTTTGTAGAACCTTCGCCCTTTTCGCAACACGATGTTTGTGTTCACAACACCTTTTTTAGAACCTTCGTCCTTTAGCAACACGATGTTTGTGTTCACAACACCCAGGTTCCTTTGTAGAACCTTCGCCCTTTTTTTTTTTTCGCAACACGATGTTAGTGTTCACAACACCCAGGTTGTGTCAATTAGATAACCTGCATTGGGTTGAGGATATCTTTGTCATAGTTACTGGTATATTAAGCTTTTGAAGGTTCCCTCCATATGATCGCCTATGGGAAGTAGCTCTTGGCAAAGGGGCCTCGTTTATAAGTAGAATATCTTGATGATTGAAATAAGTCTGTAGGCTGTTGAAAATTGGAGTATTTTTTTTCTTACATCACACGGGCTTCTTTTGTAGAATCTTCTTCCTTTAGCAACACAATGTTTGTGTTCACAACACCCAGGTTTCTTTGTAGAACCTTCGCCCTTTTAGCAACACTGTTTGTGTTCACAACACCCAGGTTTCTTTGTAGAACCTTCGCCCTTTTCGCAACACGATGTTTGTGTTCACAACACCTTTTTTAGAACCTTCGTCCTTTAGCAACACGATGTTTGTGTTCACAACACCCAGGTTTCTTTGTAGAACCTTCGCCTTTTTTTTTTCGCAACACGATGTTTGTGTTCACAACACCCAGGTTTCTTTGTAGAACCTTCGCCCTTTTAGCAACACTATGTTTGTGTTCACAACACCCAGGTTTCTTTGTAGAACCTTCGCCCTTTAGCAACACGATGTTTGTGTTCACAACACCCAGGTTTCTTTGTAGAACCTTCGTCCTTTAGCACCACGATGTTTGTGTTCACATCACACGGGTTTCCTTTGTAGAACCTTCGTCCTTTAGCAACACGATGTTTGTGTTCACAACACCCAGGTTTCTTTGTAGAACCTTCGCCCTTTTCGCAACACGATGTTTGTGTTCACAACACCCAGGTTTCTTTGTAGAACCTTCGTCCTTTAGCACCACGATGTTTGTGTTCACATCACACAGGTTTCTTTGTAGAACCTTCGCCCTTTTCGCAACAAGATGTTTGTGTTCACAACACCCAGGTTTCTTTGTAGAACCTTCGCCCTTTTCGCAACACGATGTTTGTGTTCACAACACCCAGGTTTATTTGTAGAACCTTCGCCCTTTTCGCAACACGATGTTTGTGTTCACAACACCCAGGTTTCTTTGTAGAACCTTCGCCCTTTTCGCAACACGATGTTTGTGTTCACAACACCCAGGTTTCTTTGTAGAACCTTCGCCCTTTTTTTTTTTCGCAACACGATGTTTGTGTTCACAACACCCAGGTTGTGTCAATTAGATAACCTGCATTGGGTTGAGGATATCTTTGTCATAGTTACTGGTATATTAAGCTTTTGAAGGTTCCCTCCATATGATCGCCTATGGGAAGTAGCTCTTGGCAAAGGGGCCTCGTTTATAAGTAGAATATCTTGATGATTGAAATAAGTCTGTAGGCTGTTGAAAATTGGAGTATTTTTTTTCTTACATCACACGGGTTTCTTTTGTAGAACCTTCGTCCTTTAGCAACACGATGTTTGTGTTCACAACACCCAGGTTTCTTTGTAGAACCTTCGCCCTTTAGCAACACGATGTTTGTGTTCACAACACCCAGGTTTCTTTGTAGAACCTTCGTCCTTTAGCACCACGATGTTTGTGTTCACATCACACGGGTTTCCTTTGTAGAACCTTCGTCCTTTAGCAACACGATGTTTGTGTTCACAACACCCAGGTTTCTTTGTAGAACCTTCGCCCTTTTCGCAACACGATGTTTGTGTTCACAACACCCAGGTTTCTTTGTAGAACCTTCGCCCTTTTCGCAACACGATGTTTGTGTTCACAACACCCAGGTTTCTTTGTAGAACCTTCGCCCTTTTTTTTTCGCAACACGATGTTTGTGTTCACAACACCCAGGTTGTGTCAATTAGATAACCTGCATTGGGTTGAGGATATCTTTGTCATAGTTACTGGTATATTAAGCTTTTGAAGGTTCCCTCCATATGATCGCCTATGGGAAGTAGCTCTTGGCAAAGGGGCCTCGTTTATAAGTAGAATATCTTGATGATTGAAATAAGTCTGTAGGCTGTTGAAAATTGGAGTATTTTTTTTCTTACATCACACGGGTTTCTTTTGTAGAACCTTCGTCTTTTAGCAACACGATGTTTGTGTTCACAACACCCAAGTTTCTTTGTAGAACCTTCGCCCTTTTCGTAACACGATGTTTGTGTTCACAACACCCAGGTTTCTTTGTAGAACCTTCGCCCTTTTCGCAACACGATGTTTGTGTTCACAACACCCAGGTTTCTTTGTAGAACCTTCGCCCTTTTCCGTAACACGATGTTTGTGTTCACAACACCCAGGTTTCTTTGTAGAACCTTCGCCCTTTTCGCAACACGATGTTTGTGTTCACAACACCTTTTTTAGAACCTTCGTCCTTTAGCAACACGATGTTTGTGTTCACAACACCCAGGTTTCTTTGTAGAACCTTCGCCTTTTTTTTTTTGCAACACGATGTTTGTGTTCACAACACCCAGGTTTCTTTGTAGAACCTTCGCCCTTTTCGCAACATGATGTTTGTGTTCACAACACCCAGGTTTCTTTGTAGAACCTTCGCCCTTTTCGCAACACGATGTTTGTGTTCACAACACCCAGGTTTCTTTGTAGAACCTTCGCCCTTTTCGCAACACGATGTTTGTGTTCACAACACCCAGGTTTCTTTGTAGAACCTTCGCCCTTTTCGTAACACGATGTTTGTGTTCACAACACCCAGGTTTCTTTGTAGAACCTTCGCCCTTTTCGCAACACGATGTTTGTGTTCACAACACCTTTTTTAGAACCTTCGTCCTTTAGCAACACGATGTTTGTGTTCACAACACCCAGGTTCCTTTGTAGAACCTTCGCCCTTTTTTTTTTTTTTCGCAACACGATGTTTGTGTTCACAACAACCAGGTTGTGTCAATTAGATAACCTGCATTGGGTTGAGGATATCTTTGTCATAGTTACTGGTATATTAAGCTTTTGAAGGTTCCCTCCATATGATCGCCTATGGGAAGTAGCTCTTGGCAAAGGGGCCTCGTTTATAAGTAGAATATCTTGATGATTGAAATAAGTCTGTAGGCTGTTGAAAATTGGAGTATTTTTTTTCTTACATCACACGGGTTTCTTTTGTAGAACCTTCGTCCTTTAGCAACACGATGTTTGTGTTCACAACACCCAGGTTTCTTTGTAGAACCTTCGTCCTTTAGCACCACGATGTTTGTGTTCACATCACACGGGTTTCCTTTGTAGGACCTTCGTCCTTTAGCAACACGATGTTTGTGTTCACAACACACAGGTTTCTTTGTAGAACCTTCGTCCTTTTCGCAACACGATGTTTGTGTTCACATCACACGGGTTTCCTTTATAGAATCTCCAATTCTCACAACGCGATGGTTGCGTTCACAACACACTCAGGTTTCTTTTATAGAACCTTCATTTTCCACAACGCAATGTTTTGCGGTCACATCACTCGGGTTTCTTCTATAGGACCTTCATTTTCACCACGCAATGGTTGCGTTCACATCAACACATACTTACATGTATGGTTTCTATGTTATTGAATACCAGTTTCCTTTTGGAAACGTGAACCCCATAGTGTTTAGGAACATGATTAAGGAAGGACCCCCCCCCCTTTTTCTTTCTGTTGTGTTCCCTACTCCGCCTGCCCCTATGGGTCCTGATACTACAGTTACAACCAGGGTGAATGACTAATACCTAGTTCCTGAAGATCCAACAACTGAGGACCATGCCTGCCGATGAAGAGAACGCCGCAACTAGCCAAGCCCAGCTGCCCTCCATGCTGTACAACCTGGAGAAGTTTGAAGGGAAGGGCATAGTCCCCTTCACAAATTCATAAAGGACTTCGAGCTTGTCTACGACCTAAAGGCCCTGGACGACGCCAGGAAGAGAATCCTATTGGACAACCACCTCCGGGGGGCTGCGAGGGAGTTTGCCCTACAATCTCAGCAAATCCGCCTCGGATACGAAGAGTTGAAGGAGAGTCTAGAGGGGAGGTTCCGAAAGAGGGTCTCTACAAGGGAGATGAGAAGCCAGTTCTTCTCATGTAGACAAGGGGCCGGGGAGAAAGTACGAGACTTCGCCGCGCGGGTGAGCGACCTTGCAGCGGGAGCAGAGTCGGACGGCCTGAAGATAGGCACCTCGGAAATCGCGGAGGTTTTCATCGACGGACTCTGCCCCAGCCTGTGGGAGAAGGCTCATCTATACCAAGGCGAACCCTGGGAAACCCTAGTAAGCAAACTACAGTGGCTGGAACAGAGGGAGGAAGACTATAGGGAGGCGCAGCGCTCCAGCGCCGACAGGAACGGCCAGAGGCTGGGTGACATGGGCAACAAATTGGCCGACCTGGAGAAGAAAATGGAGGCACTAGAAATAGAGAATGCAGCCCTTAGAGGACAAAGAAGAAGTGCCAATAGTACAAATAGCGGGGGAGGAAGGTGGTCATCACACCCCGCAGGGAGAAGGGATTACGGAGACAACTCCCAGGATAACAGGAGGGGAGCCCCCTTCAGGAACTGGCAGAGGAGACCAGCACAACAACCACCCAGACAACAACGGAATCCATCCCCGCCTAGACAACAAAGGAGGGGACCCAACGGTGAAAGGGAGGAGAACTCTGGAGTGGACCACAAGAAGCAGGGTGCAGGGAGACCGCCCCCCAAGTGCTACGGGTGCGGCGAGCCAGGGCATCTCATCCGAGACTGCCAGCAGAAGCAGAGAAAAAACTAGGTCCGGCTTGCCTCAAGGCAGGAGGGGGATTTGCGGCCAGTTTACCTGCCATAAATGTATATATTTTGAATAAAGGGAGGTCTCTGGACGAGAAGTGTTTAAAATTTATCTTAGATTCAGGCTCAGAGGCCAACATTGTAAATATTGACAATCTAAATTTATGCACTGAGGGACTAGACAAGCCTACTTACCTTAAAGGTATATCAGGAAAATCTTTAAGGTCATTAGGGTGTGAGGTGTTAGAAATAGGGGCAGTGGTGAACGGTAAGCCCATTAGGGAAGTAAGAACGACCTTCGAGTATTGTCACATGGGGGAATTAGGATTTGATGGCATACTCGGATTACCAGGTTTCCGAGCTCTAAAACTACACCTTAGCTACGACGATAGTATTAGGTCCGACTACGAAAGGAAGGAGGATCCGACCAAGTCGGCCTTCCTCTCCTCACTACAAACAATAGAAATGTCTCCTCAACCACCCAGGATACCCCTAAACGAGATCCACATGGGCCACGATATTTTCAGGGCCTTCAGTCATTGCTTCTGCAATGATATAAAAGATATGGGGGATGGCTCCACCATCACAGCCCCTAAACTGAGGATGCTGACTAGCAAGCCAGTATATAGGAGGCAATATCCAATCCCGAATAAACTAGTCTCAAAGGTGAAAGCGTTAGTAGACGAACTGGAGGAAGTAGGGATAATAGAGGGGAGCACCTCTCTGTGGAATTCCCCTCTATTCCCGGTTGCCAAAACTGATGGTAGTGTTCGCATCACCATGGATCTACGTATGATCAATGAGGCAACTGAATTCTTCCCGTTCCCGATACCCCGTGTCGAAGACAATCTGCGCGCATTTGCAGGTGCAAAAGTCTTCAGCACATTAGATCTGACTTCTGGATTCTTCCAGATCCACATCCCAGAGAGTGACAGAGATTATTTTACCTTCTCTCTGCCCTGGGGGAGATATCGATTCACACGTTTGCCACAGGGAGCTAAAAACTCAGCACAGGTCTTCCAGTGGGCCATGAACTTGGTCCTGGGTGACTTGTTGTTCAAATGCGTTCGCCTGTACATCGATGACGTCATTGTCTACAGCGACTCTCACGAGCAGCATGTGGCGGACCTCGCCGCTGTACTCGAACGCCTGAGTAAGTTCGGTTTGAAGGCCAAATACGGAAAGAGCTATCTCTTCAGGGACTCAGTAGAGTACCTGGGTCATGTAATCGACCAAAATGGGATCAAACCCATGTGGGATAATGTCGCCGCTCTCAGGAATTTGAAACGACCTCATAACATCAAGGCAGTCAGAAGTCTATTGGGTACAGTTAACTACTACCGACGCTTTATTCCCAACGCAGGTGAGGTCCTGGCTCCACTGAGCAACCTATTAAGGAAGGGACATAGATTTGCTTGGGGTGTGATAGAGCAGTCAGCCTTTGAGACGGTGAAAGGAATATTAACCAGCGAGCCACTACTAATTCACCCAACAATTGGGGTTCCTTTCATCCTGAACACTGACGCCAGTGGGATAGCGGTAGGCGCTTGCCTCCAACAGGAGGTCAAAGGGACAGTGAGGCCAATTGCTTATTATAGCAAGAGACTGACTGGTCCTGAGATCCGCTATTCCACAATAGAAAAGGAGGCTTATGCAGTAGTGTTGTCCCTACAACACTTTAAACACCTCCTGGCGGGCAGTAAAGTAGAAGTACATACTGACCATAAACCGATTACTTATAATAAGGGGTCTGATTATAAGAACGCCCGACTGTCTAGGTGGGCAGAGATCATCCAGGACTTCAACGTTACATTCATTTATGTCCCGGGGAAGGAAAACACGATAGCCGACTTCCTTAGTAGGTTCCCGTGCGAGGATGATCCAAACCTACCACAAGATAGGAGGGTAGTGGCCACGGTGGTAAGAGACCGTCGGCCCCCCTTATTAAATAGTAATCAGATATGGGAAGGTTTACTTCAAGAGAAAGGATGGGCCCCAGTAATGGATAAGTTAACGAAGTTAAAACCAAATAGCACGGAGAGGTATAATAATCGGGAATATAGGTTACTAGACAAATACCTTGTTACAAAGAATGAAAGGGGTACCTGGGTGAAGGTGGTTCCTACAGGTTTTAGGGAAACAGTGATCAGCTATCATCATGACATCGCTACTCGGGGTCATTTCGGAGTTAGGAAGGTTATGAGAAGGCTGAAAGGTGACTATTACTGGCCTGGCATGAGGACACAAGTCCGGAAATATATACGCAGATGCGAGAGCTGCCAGCTATCGAATCATGGCATAGCCAAAGCCGCTAGTGCTCCCCACTTTAGACCCGAAAAACCCTTTGAGCACCTAGCTCTAGACTTCATAGGACCCCTAGAAATAACCCCACGGGGTTATTCTAGCATTCTGACCATTGTGGATCTTTTCACCAAGTTCCCAATCCTGATTCCTACTAAGGACCAGTGTGCCAATACAGTGATTAGGGCCTTGTTGGAAAGGAACATCACTACCTTTGGGGTACCAAAAACGATACTCTCTGACCGAGGATCAGCATTCATGAGTTGCGTATTCAAGGGAGTCTGCAAGGCTATGGGGGTTGGTGCAGTAAATACCACGGCCTGGAGACCTCAGAGTAATGGCGCCGTAGAAAGGCTCAATAGGACGGTAATAGAATCTCTACGCAGGTGTACAGCGGGGAACAATTGGGATACCACCTTACCAATGGTAGCCTTAGCTATCAGGACCACTGTACACTCTAGTACTGGATTTACTCCAGCGAAACTGGTCTTCGGACATGAGCTGAGGCTCCCACAACCTTTCCAGGAAGAGGAGCTTAGTCCTGTATGCGAGGATTCAATTACCGAAATGGCGGCATTCTATGAGCGGGAATTGGTGGAGGAGGTTGAAAGGGCGAGAGAGGTGGTGAGGCAGACTTACTTGAAGGAGCAACAAGAAGCCAGGGCTGAGTTTGAAGCTAGAGAATTAAGGACCTTTGAGACTGGGGATCTAGCTTTGGTGAAGAGAATGCATGAGACGAAAGGACGTCACAAATTTGAGCCAAGGTATAGAGGACCTTATGAGGTACTACAAAGGACAGGCGACACTGTTTATCTTTTGAAGGAGTTGGAGACGGGGCACTTGGACAAGATTCACATAGACAGAATGAAGGCCTATCATGCACCGGTAAAGACTTACCCTACGGGGGGCGGAAACAAACAAGAACAAATAGATAGTATCACTGATGATGAGGATCACTGGGTACATCCAACGTATCCCCTATATTCCCATAGAACTGTAGAACCACGAGAGACAGCAACCTTAGGGAACCCACCTGAGGTAGTAAATAGGGCAAATGGTGACAATATTGACGGCCCTGAATTACGCCGTTCCACCAGGGTCAAGAGACCCACTGATTGTAAATCATGCCCAGGTTGCCATTGATTTGAACCTATAGAATGTGTACTAGAGTTAGTTAAATTTTGATCATAGTATGAAGTGTTAGAATGTGAGTTAAAGGCCCTAGATTGTGGTCGTAAAGAAATTTCAGTTTTTTTTTTTGGAGAAGCTATTCTGTATTGATAGCAAGTTGTGAATTAAGTTGAGTGTTCAACAGTGTATTTTGTTTCGATTTTTTTTATTGCAGGTTTTGAGCAGTGGTTCAACTTTAAAAACAATTAAGGGGCTTAGACGCACCAGACAATTGCTGTGCTTGTAACATATTCTCTATGGAATGACTTGGAGCTTGCGTTGGGTAGAACTTGACTCCCTGTAAATCCCTGGGTCCAGTTATACAGTCCAAAGAGAATTTCTAATGAGAGTGTGTAAGGCAATTACAGTCTAAGAATTGATGTAATAGGATAGCAAGTCATCTCTGTTGTTAAACTCCAGAACGAGCTGGGTACTGAATGCCCTATAAGTCCAAAGAAAGAGTTTAGCTGAATAGCAGGGAGAGAAGAATGCTAGTGATCCTATATGCGAAGCAGCGTTGGCAAAACACTTGTAGACCTATCATATTTTTTGGCAATGAGGTAAATGCTTGAAGTTCAGTTCGCTCCATTTAAGTGCTAGTTTGATGATTCATTTGTTTAGACACCATGTGTCAAGATAAGAAGATTTTCAGACTGTTAGACACCTTGTTAAAGTGTTAGGTTAGATTTCAGCATTGATTGTTAACAATCAAACTTTACTAATTTTGTTTAAGTATAAATAATATTTATCTATGAGTAGGTAATTTGTATTAGAGTTTGTACGCTTCTTTCGCGGCCAGCAAAGCGCGGTTCCGAATAGCTATTAATAGCATCAAACAAGTTAAAAAGGTGGAATCAATTTCGATTACAGATTTTATATTATATCGTGTTGTAGATAGAATGTAAGGAGTTGGTAAGTTTGCATAAAACATCTAATGTCTATATATATACAGTAAGAGTGACGCCGTTATACGGTCGGTCGGATCTCTCACCCCTTCTATCCGCGAGTAGGCTTAGGGCATCCGCGGCGCCCGTGGTCCGACTGCCTTCGTCCGTGGTCTATCTCTACCTCTTGGAGCTACCATCTAGACCTTCCTCTTTTCCTTGCTGTCCCCGTGCGGTAATCCCATCACGCTCCCACGACCACGACTGCCCAGTACATTCCACGTCGGCTTGGTCGGGGTTACTACAGAACCCGTTTAAGTCGACAGGATAACTGAGGACAACAACATGCAGAGGATGACGGAGGTCAGAGACGAATACTTCGGGGATGCCCTCACCAACATGCAACCCCACTGCGAAGACCTAGTAAGCCGCCTAACAGACGCCATTCGGGGAATAGGAGTGCCTCGTACGGAGGAAGCCCTCATCTTTCCTTTCGACGGATCCTACGCAGCAAGCAACTTCATCCAGCAACTCGAGCGGACGAGCGAGGGACCGCAAGATGACGCCACCCTGCAAGCCCGGCTCCGCAGAACAAATGTTCCTCCAAGAAATTATAAACTATATAACCTGAACCTATCCTTGGAGGAACTATTATCTCTATATATTAATCGTCATCTTTTATAATCGTATTATTATAGACAAGGGTGGTGGGAATATCATATCGCTTATGCCAGAACATTTATACTATTATAAGGACAGGAGAGACAAATAGAATCATAATGGTAAAGATTGCAAGGGCTGAGAAAATGAAGGGAGAGGTTCTCATATACAAGATAATTAATTTACCCTTGCTTTCACAGAAATTCCGCAGACAATTTAAATCTCCTAATCATGATCTAGAGCAATATAACACCACTGATGAAATAGCAACTCTGAAAGACTTTCTGAGCCATCGCTGGACTAATAAATCGACACACCACAAAACCAAGATATGTAAGTCACAAAGAACACATATAGATGCTACAAAGAGCATCCTACGCTCCTCCTCCCAGAATAGGCCCGAAACCATTGTTATACAATGATTTTCTAAAGAAACACCTAAATAACGGGACTTTCCAAGAAAATTTAAAGTGGATAAGTAACAACATATTCAAAATAAAATGGGTGGATGCAAGAAAAAATAAATGTACAAAAGAAGACCATATAGTTTTTTTGGAGTGGGACCGTGCTAAAGGACGTGAAGTTGATGAGTCTACAGCTTCTTTCGCGGCCAGCAAAGCGCGGTTCCGAATAGCTATTAATAGCATCAAACAAGTTAAAAAGGTGGAATCAATTTCGATTACAGATTTTATATTATATCGTGTTGTAGATAGAATGTAAGGAGTTGGTAAGTTTGCATAAAACATCTAATGTCTATATATATACAGTAAGAGTGACGCCGTTATACGGTCGGTCGGATCTCTCACCCCTTCTATCCGCGAGTAGGCTTAGGGCATCCGCGGCGCCCATGGTCCGACTGCCTTCGTCCGTGGTCTATCTCTACCTCTTGGAGCTACCATCTAGACCTGCCTCTTTTCCTTGCTGTCCCCGTGCGGGAATCCCATCACTCACCCACGACCACGACGAGTTTGGCCATCCTATTGCGCATGTTTCTGCACACGTTGTCACGTGACCAGGTTTGTTTACCTCCTGGTAATAACAACCAGGTCGCTGATGCACACTGTGTAACACGTGACACAAACACGATGCTCTGGTGGTAAGCCCATCTGACACCACACGCCTACCAGGTTCTCACACAAATGTGACACATGTACACAACCTTGCCCCTGCTCTTTGTGATCCGTTTAGGATGCCGTTCCAGCTACCTGAGGTCTTTAAATGTCCCGAGTGTTACGGGATGGCGAGAGTAACCCGCAGTGGTGTCTACAAGCAGCACAACGATCTGGTGAAGCACCTTCGTGTTCTACACAAGATCAACAACGTGGTTTTTGACTGCACGGTCTGCCAACAAAGCTTCAAAGACCTGCAGAAACACCACCAGGATTGCTCTACGGTTGAAAAACTGGCCCAAAAGAGCGCACCATCTACGAGGAGCAAGAAGACACCAGGAAGCGACACCGCGGCCCTGGAGGAGCCAGAACACTCGACTCAGCCAGCGGCCCAGGAGCCGTTTTCTTCCGACATTATTGTATAATGATTTCCTAAGAAAACATCTTAATCTTGGAAATTTTGGGAAAAAATTGAAATGGCTGAAGAAAAATATAATATTTCAAGTTAAATATATTGACACAAGAAAAAATACTACCTATACTAAAGAAGATCATAAAGTTTTTATGAGCTGGGACCGGGTAAAAGGACATAAAGTTGGTAAGTCCACAACTTATTTCAAATCAAGCAAAGCCCGGTTCAGAAAAGCCCTGCATAAAATAAAAGAAATTAAAGAGGAGAAATCAATTTTGATTATTTATTATATATTTTTAAATGCAGGCAATTATTTCACCAATTTCTTGGCCTGGCACTTCTGCTGGGCCCTGTTCGCGGGACAGTGCTTCTGGTGGGATTTCCACGTTGCCAAGTCTCGTACTTGACACAGCGGAAATCACGCCTGCGCGGTCACATGACTCGGGGACCAGCGGCGAGCCACGCGGCCCGGCGATCGACCAGGTTATTGCACCCATGTCTGTTTGGTCACGTGACATGCGTCCTTGTTCTGCCACTCGTCTCGACGAGTTTGGCCATCCTATTGCGCATGTTTCTGCACACGTTGTCACGTGACCAGGTTTGTTTACCTCCTGGTAATAACAACCAGGTCGCTGATGCACACTGTGTAACACGTGACACAAACACGATGCTCTGGTGGTAAGCCCATCTGACACCACACGCCTACCAGGTTCTCACACAAATGTGACACATGTACACAACCAAGAAACAGAAGAAAACCTTTTTGTTTAATGACTTCATCAAAAAACATCTCAATCTTGAAACTTTTGGGCAAAATTTAAAATGGCTGAAGAAATTTTCATTATTTCAAATTAAATTTATTGACAGAAGAAAGAATCCTAATTATACTGAAGAAGATCATAAAGTTTTTATGAGCTGGGACCGGGTAATGAGATTTGAACCTAGCAAAACAAAAAAAAAAAAAAAAAAACATTAGAGCAATGGAGTTAACCAATACGCTAATGTTTTTTTCATTTGGAATGGAATTAACCTGATATATATATTTATTATTTTTTTTTTTTAGGTGTCTACGCTTGGAGGCAAGTGCGCTCAATTAATTGGAACAATATCTCGGACCATCGGGAGATATCTGTATGGAAGAACTTTCAGCGGACGATTTGATGCATGTTCTCGGATCACCACAGGATGTGTGTATGCCAGGCGAACTTTCTCACCTCTCACCACTAGATATAGAGCAAGTGCTCGGAATTCCCGAGCAGGGTGGGCTCGACAACGCTCCCACAGTCGACGACCTCACATTAAGCAGGATTCTAGAGGCGGAATTTCATTTTTCGAGGTGCTGCCGTCCCTAACACCTGGGCGGCAACCGCTAATGACCTTTGGGCGATGGAAGGCCCGGAGGTGAATACGTCCAAATTCAAGACTGCTGACCAGGCGTCTTGAGTACGCCTCGTGCTCCAGGCGCTGAAGGCTGGATGAGCAGCACATAATACATTTTGAAAATGCCAAATCAATGTATGACGCCATATGCAGAATATTTGAAAGAGATGATGAACAATTAAGCTGTTACAAGAATTTGACACATAAATTTGATACAAATGTAGACCTTGAGGCCAACATAAGTAATTAAGGAAATTTGGCTTTCAAACTCAATAATCTAAAACAGAACTTTGATGACAATATTGTTATTTTGGTCACAACTCCGGACAATGCTCCAGGGCTCCAAAGTGCTTCCACTGCGGTGAAGAAGGTCACGAGGGCCGTGCCTGTCCATCCCTAGCCAACCAGCACACCACCAAGTGTGCCAACTGCTGTGCCAAGGGCCTTCCGGACAAACAAGAGGCGAGAGCCTCTGGCTGCTCTTTCCTGAGGTCTAGGGCTCTCAAATTCTAAGCTTCCAGGACCTGCTGCCTTCACTGTCCTCACCTACTGGATTTCCTCCCCAGCCAAGACTCCTGCCACTCACTGCTCCCAGACGCTGTTCCCCTGCCATCTCTACGTTTCCTCCACCCCTGCGAGACATCTTTGCTGCCAGATCCTAGGGTCCCTTGCAACTGGAAATGGCGTTCTGCCATAGGGGTTTGAAGACCATGCTTTAAAAGGCCAATTAACCCGGAATAGAAAGAATCGCTCCTTTTCCAGGTTGGTGTCTTCCCACAATGCACCATCTGCAGGACCACCTCTTGGAATGTATGGGAGCCTCAAGACAGGACTTATATTACAACCCTACCAAGATTATAAATTTAATCCATGAATTTTCAGTCTCCATGACCTTGTATAATCAGATCATCTCATCCGTTTCTCAGAGATCAGTTTCCAGCTAGCTCATGCTCTGGAAACACCTCTGCCTTTCTGCTCTCCCATCATGGATCCCTCCAAGCCTTTTCAACCCTCGGTGGACATTGCACCTCTGGTGGAGGAGGACATGGTATCTCCCACCACTACCAGATCCTGCACTCCCTCTGGCAGCTTTCCCTCAAATCCCTTCATCTGAACCTTGCCTGCTTCATTGAGCAGCGGACAGAGATGATCAAGTGCCTAGTTGGGGAGGTGAAGAACCTTGCGGACACCCTCAATAATTTCATTCAAGTCATTCATCAAGTTTAAAACATGAAAATATTGAAATAAATCTTTTTAGCGCAAAAATATATATACACTTCGTTCTCTTTTTATGCGGTTTTTTTTTATGCGGTTTTGGAGTTATGCGGTGCAAGAAAAAAAAATTTATTCGAATTTCTAAAATTTTTTTTTTGGTGATTCACTTTTTCTGAAAACGAATAAGAATAACAACTACAACTCTACTATTACGCAATCAATACAAAGAAAGAATTTTGTAACGTCCTGGTTGTATGTTAAGTTATCCAACAAACAGTAGAGGGGAAGTTCCAATGTCTTTTATTCCGCGCCTGCCGGTGTCTTACACAACTCGTGCAAAACCGAAATCAAAACTGAAAACCCGCCGGCGTGCCAGCTGCCGTTACAAATTTCTTTTTTCTTTTATTGACATGTTTTCTCTTGATTTGTTCTTAAAAACAAAAGGGACAAAAACAAAAATACCTCGTTAAAATTGCGTGTTTTTATGCTGCATTTTGTTTTTGTATGAAACTAATTGAAAAAGCCTGCATATTGGAAAGCATTAGAAAATAAAACTTTGTGAAAGAAGGTTACTACCGAAAACCGGAAGATAAATTTACTCAAGTGAATAGTAAGTTTTTTTAATAATTTTAGTGCGTAATTGTACATTAAATTTTTTCTATAATTTTTAGTCCTCTTAAAGAAAATGTGTGACAATAATAAAAAACAAAAAAGAAGTGCAATTTCGCTAGAAACCAAAATTATAATTCTCGATTGCTTGGCGAAAGGAGAAAGATCAACAGCAATAGGTAAACGTTATAATTTAGGCGAATCTACTATAAGAGCAATAAAAAAAATGATGCGGCAATAAGAAGATCAGTCAGATCTGGTACAAATTTGAGTTCTAAAATTTCATCATATTCAAGAGGCACTTTAATAGAAAAAACAGAAAAGGCTCTCGTAATTTGGATTGAAGATTTAACTCAAAAAAGAATTCCGTTAGATGGACATTTAATCAAGATGAAAGCCCTTAAATTTTACAAGGAGTTAAAAGAATCAGAGCCATCTACATCTTCACGTGAAAGTAATCCACAATTCTCTGCCAGCACAGGGTGGTTAACTGGTTTTATAAAAAGACATTCTTTTCATAATCTAAAAATAAAAGGTGAGGTGGCTTCTGCAGATGAAGAAGCTGCTAGAAAAAATCCTGAAAAGTTGGCTAAAATTATTAAAGATGGAGGATATTGTGCCCATCAAATCTTCAATGCTGAAGAAACAGGATTGTTTTGGAAAAAAATGCCAACCCGTACTTACATTGCAAAGTCCGAAAAAAATGCCAGTGGTTTTAAAGCTGCTAAAGATCGAGTTACTTTATTGCTGTGCAGCAATGCATCTGGCGATCGAATGTTAAAACCACTGCTTGTAAATCGATCTTTAAAACCACGTGCATTAAAAGGAAAAGACTTAAATACACTGCCCGTACATTGGATGGCAAACAAGAAGGCCTGGGTAACAACGGCTATTTTCACTGAATGGTTCAATAAATGCTTCGTACCCGAAGTAGAAAATTATATGAAAGAGATGGGTCTCGAATTTAAGATCTTATTAATTCTTGACAATGCACCAGGTCATCCAAACTTAGAACATCCAAATATAAAGGTAGTTTTTTTCCCTCCAAACACAACGAGCCTAATTCAACCATTAGATCAGGGAATTATTTCAACATTTAAAAAATAATATGTAAAATTCACTTTCCAATTCATTTTCGATAAACTGGAATCCGATACAATAACAGTTACTGAAGTTTGGAAACAATTTAATATCTTGAACTGTGTAGATCATGTTGCGTTAGCAATTGCCGAGATAAAATCACAAATTTTAAATGCATGTTGGAAAGCTGCTTGGCCTGAATGCGTATCAAAGAGAAATGAATCAAATTGAACAACAATAGTAACATCAGATATTATTTCAATTGCTAAGGAAATAGGTGGGGAAGGTTTTGATGATTTTGGCGAGCATGATATAGAAGAATTGCTTGTGGACGAAGCCCTAAATGATGATGATATTTTGGAAAGTATGGTAGATACTACTAAAGATTTCGAAACAGTGTAGATAGCGAACTGGAAGATGTTACTCCACTGGACGAAAAATTACTTCGGGAAGGCCTTCAACTTTCCGGTAAATTGGAATTTTTTTTTATTCAAAATGATAATGATGTAGAACGCGCCTTAAAATTCCAACGTGATCTGAAATTTTGTATGTCTGGCTACAGAGAACTCTACAAAGAACTAGTCAAGCCATCACAGCGTTTGATTACTGACTACCTTGTCAAAGAAAAAAAATCACTGAAGTTCCTAAAGAAGCATTACCATGTAGATCTGATGACGTAATTTTATCTTCAAGTGATGAAAGTGATCTTGCACCAATCCACAAACGGGTTCGCACATTATCAGACAGCGAATAATGATGAAAACATTCTTAATATGATTTTAAATAAAAGTTTTGTTTATGTTTTTTTTACATATTAAGTTTTGTTTTTGTTATTAACACACATATGTGCCATTTATTAAAATATGATGAGAAAAAAATTAAATCTTATTATTTATAAATCTTTTTTATGCGATTTCTGGTGCATTTTAAAACATTATTTAGGTTTTATGCGATTTTTTTAATAAATGGAACGTATCCATCATTTTACATATAAATGTATGTCTTTTTTTGTGCGATTTTTTTTTATGCGGATTCCCCTGGAACGCATCTACCGCATAAAAAAAGAACCAAGTGTATATATATAATAAAATAGATTATTTGGCATCAATTGATTCTTTATCATTTAAAAAATTAAAAATTCAATCTACTCTTGAAAATGGCATTTTTCGCCTCAAATTTGGGTGGAGGGTTTTGAAGTGGTTTGAAATTTTTTTGGTAAATCGATACGCAAAATGCCTTGGATTTCACAAGACAAAGACTTGTATTGCTGAAGGCCATAATTGCGCTAGATGTGGTGCTCATGGACACCTATCAAAGGACTGCCAGAGGGCAGCGAATTGCCTTAATTGTAAAAAAGCAAATGAAGTGAATCCAAATTTAGCAGTGGGGAGTTCGAACAGAGCTCCTGAGAAATTAGTCCAAAAATGTAGTTTTTCAAGATTTTAGTGGAAGAAATTTTCCAGCCATCCAACTAAAGCACCAAATAAGATAAGTTATTTTTCCTAGGCGCCATTAATGTTTACAACAAATTCATTCCAGATTATGCGTGCGTTAGAAATCCTCTAAATCAACTTTTGAAAAAGAACGTTAAATGGGAATGGACGTCAGACTGTCAAAAGGCGTTTGACAAACTCAAACAACTACTTTCATCAGGTCCCATTCTCCATCTTTATAAATCAGATTTGCCCTGTCAAGTGTACTCTGATGCATCTTTGCAAGGGATAGGAGGAGTACTGAAACAGCTCCATCTCTCCAGATGGAAACTCATATCCAGTACAATATTATAGCCGCACTCTGCACAAATACGAGCGCAATTATACCATCACCGAATTAGAGTGTCTGACCATAATTGAAACAGTAGATCGTTTCAAGGTCTATCTGGCGGGAAATTATTTTACCATTTTCACCGATCATTGCGCCTTACAGTGGCTTAAAAACATCAAAAATCCAACAGGAAGACTCTTTCGATGGAGTTTGAGATTGTCAGTCTACGACTATCAGGTGAAATACATCAAAGGCACCAAACAACTAGAGGCTGACCTTTTCCCCGAAATCCGTTTTGTGGCCTTCTTGACGCCACGCAATTAAAAATGTACCAAAGCGAGCTTCGGGATAATCCCAAGTATGTTCACCAAATCTCAGGCCTGACTACCGTCACCAGACGTGGTGTGAGCAAAATAGTTGTTCCGCCATCCTTACGACCCACCATACTTAGAGAAGCCCACCAGAAATTCAACCATTCAGGAATTTCTCAATTGACTAGAACGACACAAAGTGGGGAACTAATTTTTTTGCAGTACATAGAGCAAGAGCCTAGCTTCCCATCTAGTCAGTCTAGTCAAATCAGTTGGAATGTCTTCACAGAAAAAAACCAAGGCCGGCCGCGGTGGCCAAACCGACGAAGAGTGGGCCAAGACCCTCTCCAAGATGACCCCCACTGAGATCGTGGATCTAATAAAAAAAAAACCACGGAAGCCGAGGTGAAGGGCTTCGACGAGAACCCCGTGGCATGGATCGCGGCCTATGTCTCAAAGACCATGCCCGCCTATGCCATGGAGTTGGGGGCATATGGGGAGCTCCACCAGTACTCCGGCTTCGACCCCAACAAGGTGATCAAAGCCATGCTGGAGAAGTGTGGCGGAGACAGGGCCCAGCTCGCCGTTACACAAATATTTAATTTCTAATAAATATATAATTATATATTTAATATAATTATATTGATACGTGCTGTAAACATCTCAAAATTATTATTCTCATATTTAATTTTTCATAGAACTTTATTCCAATGATCATCATCACTTAGCATTGTTTTACATGACGACTTTGTAAAAATGAGACGTTGGTTAAAAATAAAAACTAACGAGACATACATTCTTGATTATTTATTTCCTTTACATTGAAAATAGCTATAAAAGAAAAACTTACATACATCCGCTTCAATATATTTTTCACAAATAAATCAGAAATTTCGATACTCTATTCAAAAATGTTTAGTCGTGTTTCTTCTAAAATATATATATATGTCTCTCACACAGTCTCTCCTTCCAGGTCTCGGTGATAAGTATCCAAGTTTGTGTCATGGCCTCTACCTCTGTCCCGTGGGCTGTTCCCGATCACTCTGTGTTAACAATCCAGCCCTGCCTCTGCTTCTTGTTGTCCGTGTGTGGGAAGAACACCAACACTCGCCACTTCCTGCCCTACTCCCCCTCCTCAGTTGATATAGCTAGAAGCCTCAAGACATACGGTATCCACACCATATATAAGAACTCCTCCAACCTGCTCACATCCCTCCGTCACCCATATACTAAATCGCATGCCCCCCAGGATCCCCTCCATTCTGTTGGCGTGGTCTATTGTCTCGTGTGAGCAATGCTCTGCCACATACGTTGGCGAGACAGGTAGACCCATCGCCATCAGAATGTCTGAACATTCTCGAAACATCTCCAATCGAGACACCAGGTCCCTCCTTTATCAGCACATTCTCAATACTGGCCATCCTTTTAACACCAACCACCCCACTATACATTACAGACACATTCATAACCAGCACCAACGATTAGTTCTCGAGTCAATAGAATCCCACAGACAACAGTATTAACCGAAAATAGAACTTTCAGATGCATATCGTGCTCTCCTGGCCTTGCAGTAATAACTTCAACAAGATTCGATCCTACTACAGGCTGAATCAAGAAGGTTTCGACCACCTTGTGGTTAACCACAAACTACATTTTAAAGACCCGGAAACGGGAGCAAATACGAATAATATCGAGGCCACCTGGGGCGCAGCAAAAAAATTACACGTGGGGAAAAGGAAAGTTAAAGATTCTCTTGAATTTTATCTTTCGGAGTATTGGTGGCAAAGGAAGCATTATGTGGATCCAAGAAAAAATAGAAACAGCGAAGCTTAAGCTTAGCATTTGTAATCTTAGTTTTTTATTAAGTAAAAATTAAAACATGTTGCTAAATATAATTAGTACTATATAATTGCATATTAGTACATATTTATTTGTGAAAATAAAAAAATAATACGTAGCTAAATTATTGAGCACCATTGGAGCGTAACTTTGTCCTTATTTCTTTGTTTACGTTTACGCTAAATCACCAATATAATTTTTTTAAAAAATAATCTGGAGATATAATAAAAAGTTAAAAGCAATAAAAAGTACTTTATAAATATTAAAGTAACCAAAGGTATTTACAAATTACATATGAATTTATATTTAAAAAATATATATATCGACGAGTTGGATCCATCCAGCCAATCAGACAATTACCTGAGGTGAGGTTGGTGACGCGCGCAACGAACCAATCACAGCCTGTGTTTACATCGGGCGTCACACTGACGTCACGACCAATGGGAGGCCTAGTTCCATATCTGGCCAAAACCTACGGTGTCTCCCTTACTTGGGTTTTTGAGGTGGTCACATGAGCGGGTGTTTACATTTACATTGGCATATTCCCCTATAGTTTCAAACTCCAAGCATAAAAATTCCTTATTTATTTACTTAATATCTCTCTAATTATAAAATAGTCATAACTTATGCAAATCCTCATTTTCATAATTTTATTCCGCAAATATGTAAATAGTTGTATGTATATATTCATTTTAACCATTGTACCTGCATTATAGTACCAAGTTTGATGCTGAAATCACGCCTGTAGAAGGGTTTTTTGCCCGAAAGCTTGCTTTGATATATTTCTATTAAAAGAAACTCTTCTTCTTTTATTTTGTCTTTTCGTCTAAATTAAATACTATTAATGTTGTCTAAATAAATACATACATAGAAGCATTAATGTGAGTTACTGTTAAAATAAATGTGTTTCAGCAACCCTGGCAGTACAGAACAAAGGAATGTGATTAGCCCTAATGTTTACCTTTTAGTGTGTTGTAAATAATTCTCTGATTAATATGTTTGCAATTTTGGTAAAGATAATAAAATAAGATATTATCTTAATTTGTAGTATATTTATGTGTTAAATAAACTACAAAATAACAGATTATGAGACTGAAGTTTAAATAATAACTAAGAAATATCAAGAACGTGTTTAGTAAGTACAACTTGAAATATATTTTAAAATGAGCGTAATTAATTCTAATTTACCAATTTTGACTGGTACAAATTTCAACAGCTGGAAATTTAGAGTTAAACTATTGTTAGAATAAAAACAAATACATCTAACATTAGAAAAGGAAATTAATGATTTTGTCAATGAAAAAGAACGCGAGTTATTTGCAATTAAAGATGCAAAGGCAAAATCTACGCTTGTTCAATGTTTAACTGATAAACATCTAGACATAATTAAAGATGCCAAAACAGCTAAAGAAATGATGAAAGCGCTCAAAAATATATTTGAAAGAAAAAGCGTGTTTACAAAGCTAACACTAAAAAGAAAGTTGTTGACTTTAAAATGCAAACATAATGAAAAATTAGAGGACCATTTTCTTAAATTTGATTCTATAATTCGTGAATTGGATAATATAGGTTCCAAAATGGATGAATCTGACAAAATATGTCATCTGTTATTGTCATTGTATGAAAATGTAATCACAGCAATAGAAACAATAAATACTGAAATCAAAATGGAATTTGTTAAGGCAAGATTGCTGGATGAAGAACTCAAAAGGAAAAATAAACAAGGGGAACCTAGGAATGAAGAAATGACATTTGGATCATTCACATTTACATATTATAATTGTGGCAAGAAAGGTCACAAGGCTACAGAATGTAGAAATAAAAAGAGAAAAGAATCAAACACAAAAAGAGAGTAATGAAAGACAAAGAGAGAGTCAACCTAGACAACAAGCCTATCAGATGGATGGAAAACTATCATTTGTAGCAATGAATGCTATAGATTACTATGAAAATTATCATTTTATTTTAGACTCGGGAGCAACACAGAACCTGATCAAAAGTGAATTAGAAAAATATATGACATGTGAAGATTTTAGAACATAAAGAATGAACCGAACATTGATTGATAAAGTGAGAACAAAGTTGGCAGAAACAAATACCAAAATATCTCTGGGGAGAAGCCATTTACTGCTCAGCATACGAATTAAACAGAAGTCCAAGTGCGAACAAAGGAATACCTCCGGCTAGCATATGGTATAAACAAAATGACCTATCCAAACTTAAGGTTTTTGGCTCAAGAGCTTGGAGACTAATTCTACCCAAACCAAGAAAACTAGATGCTAGAGAAAAATCAACAATCATGGTTGGATACAGTGGAAGCGGATATCACATCTGGGATCCAGAAACTGATAAAGTAATGATTTCAACAGATGTAACATTTGATGAAACATTAACTAAATTTGATAAGGAAATCATCTCAGATCAAACAGAACCTAAAATAATAATAACTGAATTTCAAGATGAGGAAGAAACCCCACAAACATCGGAACAATCAGACAAAGAAGAAAGTGTAACTACAAGATCGGGTCGAATAATCAAACCACCAAGGTATCAAAAAGATTATGAACTATATTCAGTATATTGCTTGTTTACAAATGGTGAAGATCCAGTTTCTTACAATCAAGCAATTATGCAAAAAGAATGGAAAGAAGCTATTGATAAA